CGATCACTTTTTACTGGTCCCTGGATGGTCGCCTTGGACAAGTTTGACTGTATTTTGTTTTATTAGAAAACTGAAATGGAATCAATGCAACGCCCAAAGTTATACGTCCGCCATTTACATCGGTCTTAGGCCATGATTTCCATGGCCTCCAACCAGCGATGCTCCGTATCGCTGAAATCCCAACTAGAGACTCGAGGACAAACGACCGAGCCCAACATTTTCGTCAGCCTTTTCATTCGGCTTCTCCAACCCATAGGTTCTCCACTGCGCCTTCTCCTCCAGTCCTGTCCAGCAAGCGCGAACAACACGCGATGCGGAAGACAATGAGTGGAAATGCATACTACGTGTCCAGACCGCCGCAGCTGACGCATCTGGATGAATAATAATAATAATAATAATAATAATAATAATAATAATAATAATAAATAATGTCAGCTGTACGCCGTAACGGCTCTTCACTGCCGCGCGATCGCCGCCAGTTGCGCTCGGGCTAAGTATACCGCGACGACGTTCACCCCTTCGCGGGATAAGCTCCTTGAGCTACTGTCCGGCCCTTAGCCTTAAGGATCACAAGCCTGCCTTGTAATCTGAGGGCACGTGGGCGAGCCTACGTAGGGACCGGACGACCCTCTTACTATCCTTAGCCCATGCGCGGCTGATGTTGGTTGCGCGGCAGTGAAGCGTCAGTACTTAGTACCGGCGTCCTGCTGATGCCTTTCTTTCTTTTCTTTTTCACCCCAGACACGCTGTTTTACTTCCACATTGATTATGGGTGCAGCCACCACACACGGGTAATGAACCACAAGCAACGATGCTCGAAGGCAGACAGACTGCACAGATCCACGGTACGAACAGGCCGTCTCGTAACCGTACAACAGTACAATTCGAACAGTCGCACAATAATCCCGCCCTTTGATCTAGAAACAGGTGTTGTCACAAGTGTCACCCTGAAGAAAGCAAAACAACCTCTTGAGATACGCAGCGAAATCTCGTACCCAACAGCTCCACCGGCAGTGATGCGATTTCCCTAGTAGACAAGACTTTCTACATTCTCCAATGTCTCACTACCGAGAGTAAATGCAACTACAGAGACGTGTCAGTCTTGACAAGTGCTTTGCACTTGTATGGGAAATAGTGCATACCATACTTCAATCACCAAGCGTTTAAGTGCACTTTGGACGGCCTGTGGACCGTAACCCTCCTAGACGATATCATCAGCATATTTCAAATCAACAACTCGACTACCTGGGAGGAGCTCAACGCCAACGTTCAACGAATTTTCCAACCCATGTTTGAGAGCATCATCAATGGCAATTGTCGAACTTCACTGGTGACAGCGAAGGAATGCGAAAGCCTGCAGTAAACCCTAACGCTACCCGGGGTCAAACTGTACATAGCACGCAGTACATAAACAAACTTCCCCAAGAGCACCATTCCCTAACAGACAGTGCCACAATGCGATCCTGTAGACTAAATCGAAGGCATTGCGGATGTCCACGAGCACGACGATCGTTGGCTTTTGGTACTCATGGCGGAGCTCGAAGATTAGGCAGAGTGTGAAAATTTCATCGATGCAGCCCTGGCCAGGGCACAATCTAGCCTGTTCTTTCCACTATAGCGATTCGCGAGTTGGGATAGCGTGCAAAGTATGTTGAACACCAGGAGCTTGCAGGCAACCGGAATCAAGTTGCTACCCCTGTAGTTGGAGCACATTGTGCGCAAGCCCTTTTGAAGATGGAGACAACTATCGACTCACCCCAAGACGTTGGAACCTCCTATTGTGACCATACTTCTGAGGACAAAGCGGTGAGTTCTCGAACCAGCGATGCCACCATCTCTAAATCGAGCGAGAGATAAGCCATCAGCGCCTGGTGTTTTACAGCGCCGCAAGAGGCAGTGTTTATGCCAGATGTCATGGTGAGAAGGAGTATCTGTGGTGATGGACCACTCAGCACCAGTTAGCACTCCAGTGTAACTAAATGAAGCTAGTGATCAGCAAAACTGCGAGCCAGAAGGTTCAACTCATCGTCCCAACCGTCGTTGAAGCTTAGTGAACCCTCCTCTTCCCAGATTGTTTCGCTTACACCAGATCGAAAACTTTCCTTGAATGGGGTGAGATAGAAGAATTTTCCGGTATCGTCAGAGACTGGCAAATTCCATCTATCTAGCGCATCCACACCACCAGGTCGACATTCTACGCTACAATTTGCATCGACCAGAGCCGAGCTGCGTTCGTCCATCAGCGAAAAGGAGACTGCGGTGACCCAGCTTTTCAGTGGGTGTCAGACGACGGGTGAATCTCTATCAATGCTGAAAGAAACTAAGCCATTTCTGATGCACATCCATTGTGAATTCAGATCATTGTCAGCATCTGAGGCACGCAATCTTGATCGAGAGGACTAGTATTTAGCTAACGCCGAGGGGCCTTGTAGATTTGTCTCGCTCAGTCGGCAATGTGTACGCTTAGGCGGTCCTCTTAAGTGCATGCAAACATGGCACGAACCAATGCGTTCCGGAGTTCAGACAAGTTGACCAATACGATGGGAAGTCGGATACACTTCCGTGCCATTTGTAGCTATGTGATCAAGGTGTGACCGCTCTTACGTTCGAGAAGGCGAGCGCCAGATAGAAGTCTCTTCGAGTCAGTAGTCTGCCTCTATTGCCTTATCGGCTGTTACTGAGGCCTAATCCACTTCCGAGATAGTGCTCGCTTGGTGGCAGACAGTCCCTATTTACTTTTTAATCCCCGATAAGGATGACAATATCATACTTATTAGAGGAACCCATGTCATGTAGTCGTTGGTACAAGCAGTCCTTGGCTGTGTTTTGTAGGAGCATAGGCGGAGACGACAAATAAGGCACGCGTAACATCTCGACGCTTACTTAACTCACGTGCACCTCGTAGTTTGACCGCACACAGGCGACTGTTAACTGGGATCCAGTCAAGCAGAGTGGTCTCAGCCCATTCATTCAGCACAACCCTAACGAGCCTGGTTAGAAGCGGCAACCTCTGGGTCTCCGGAAAGGCGCAAATGGTATGGTTGATGAAACGTGGCTCCCATCCACAAACCACCCGGTCTTATTCCTTCGGGTTTACACTGGATATGGTGTGTGTGGTTGGAGCTGTGGGTGGTGCAGCGCAAGCCACCCATGGCCCTTCTGTACGCGCAGGCGTACTGTGGCTGGCCACAGTGACAGGCAAATCCGAAACCGGTTGCCGCCAACCATATATATACGCTACATTCGATTTACTAACCGCTTGCTTTCATGCCGAGTCTCTTTATTTCAGGTGATGGGTTTGTTGTATTGTCCTAATGCTTATTTGTATTTATGTATACCTATATACTTGTACAGTCCCTTAACTTACTTTAATTAACTTCGATAACATTTTCGCGTTTGTGTCCTTTTCTTAAAATATATTTTCTGACGTCTTTAACTTATCGCGGATTTGTTTGTAACCAATTTGTTTCGTATAATCATTTATTATAGAGTTATCTCAGAATATCTGTATGCATTACCCAATTTATTTTATTTCATCTTGTCGTTTCAAGTGATTGGCTGTGGCTTGATATCCCCGGTGTAGCTGCGCTTGATGTGCATGTTAACAAGGTGCCTGCCTGTCAGTTACCCACTAGCTCGTCCATTCTGGCTCCAGGAGGCAGTTGGTCGTTGCTGGAGGGGACGGGTTGCACGGTCCATGTGGTCGTGCTAGGATCGAAGAGGGGTTCCTTGCAGTCAGTGTGGAACGGACTACGGTTAAGTCAACGCCTTGTGTGTGATTGATTCCCAACTACAGCGTGCTTGTGTTTGCCTGTGAAGGAGTGTGGGTAGGCTCCGTTGATGAAACGTGGCTCCCATCCACATGCCTCCCGGTCTTATTCCTTCGGATTTACACTGGATATGGGGTGTGTGGCTGGAGCTGTGGGTGGTGCAGCGCAAGCCATCCATGGTCCCTCTGTAGGCGCAGGCGTCCTGTGGCTTGCCACAGTGACAGGCAAATCCGAAACCGGATGCCGCCAACCATGTATGTATGTATGTATGTGTGCCCCATGCTGAGTGTGATGTTGCATTCTTGATGCTTCTTCACCGCAGTTGGGCTAAACCAACTTACACTTAAAGTAGGATTTCTTAAACTGGATAAATTGCATTCCACTTTATTTGGTTTGTTCTGCCTACCTGACTAATCTTCTATCAACTGGCCAAGTTGCTTGCGCTAATTGTGGTTATCTTCGTTAGGTTTATTGCGTTTGTAACTTCTGGACATTTTGTACTTATCTCGAATTCGTTGCTAACCCACTTACTTCATATGTTATTTTAGGGTAGAGTTATGTCTGCATAGTCGTATTCTTTAACAGATATATTTTATTTGATAATGTCAATTGAAGTGAAGCGTGCTTGTGTTTGCCTGTGAAGGAGTGTGGGCCGGCTCCATTGATGAAACGTGGCTCCCATCCACTTGCCTCCCGGTCTTATTCCTTCGGGTTTACACTGAATATGCGGTGTGTGGTTGGAACTGTGGGTGGTGCAGCGCAAGCCACCCATGGTCCTTCTGTAGGGATGCACCCATCCTCTGGTTGTCATATAGTGGGCACAGTGACAGGCACATCCAGAATCGTATGCATGCAGTCATGTATGTGCCTATACATAGCGCTTTACAGTTAGCAATACCTTAGGCATCGCGCCAGATCTAAAGTCAGTCGATTTAAGCCATACATGGCTTACATCAAAACTCCCGAATTTATGCGCTTCAGCGTATTATGCCGTTTTGGTATGCTTTTATTTGGCTTTTCACACTTCCCCGTCAAAGCCTTATCGCCATGTTCATTCCCACCATACATCAGCGTGGTTCTTCATCCTTTTCAGAGTTGCTGAGGGGTTTTCCACGTCTATTTAACGTGTATAATGGTTATGATGATTTTCAAAATAAACTTTTTATTTTCCAGTTTTTATTGTTCATCACACTCAGTGACTTTTTATCTGTTTCGCTCTTCTCATCATAGCTCTCTAGTGGCTGACGTAACGACGATTCGGTATGCTGGACGAAGAACGAAAGTTCTACCATTCGCCACTGAAAACCTCCGTGATCACACTGCCTGGCAATGACGTCATTGCACCTGCACTTATCACCCACACATTTGACTGCCTTACCTCTGTGGATGAAACTGTTGGGCGTCCACCATCCGCTCCTGCAAATTTGGCACGGTCGCCGCAAGTTCCTTTCCATCTCCTCTCAGGATGCAAGCAAAGACCACACAGTTCTCCCGGATTATTTCCTTTCAGTGACTCCAAATCTAAATGGCGGCGATCACCGGCAGGTTCTCTTGATAAATCCAACAATCTGTCAATGTCAGAAATGCAGGACATCCGTTTATCCACTGTAACTGCTACTGCCTATCATTCTACCGTAAGAAACTTGGACGATTGGGACGCCTGCCAACTCAGCGAATGGTTGCTTTCTTCTGATAACACCGTAGTTTCGCAAGAACGCCCAGCTGCAGAAACGCCATGTTCTATCCAGAATCCAATTTGCCTTCTGCCTACTACACCATCAATCCGCTCTCCCTCGATGTACAGATCTTGTTTACGTGAAGAGGTAAGTTGCGTCATTGTTACACCCCAACTTCTTTTAGCCTATCACTGTTCCCGTCCCTCGAGCAGACCTGAAGCGCCCACGCTCCGCAGTTTCTTCTTACACTGATTCTCCATTAACCGAAGACGAGTCGCGCCCTTTTTCGGCCCCGAAACGTCTGTACAACGATGGCTGTGACTCCGGGCCAAGTTTGTTTGCCAGCAGGACCACTCTTTCTTTCGTTACGTCTGACTCAATCACACTTGTCAATGAGCAGGCACCATCCGGCGAGTCGGATCCTCCTAAATCCACTCTAGAGGCTTTGGTTGCATCAAATTCGCCTATGTTGTTTTTTACAGCAGACTACACTGCTGCAGCTGATCGTATCACATCACCATTATGCGATCTGATCGCGGCTTCCACGGAGAAGAGTCGTACTCCTCTTCTGGATAATTATGACACTGTGGAATCGAATTTTAATTTAGACCTGGAGTCAACCTGTACCGACGTTGAATCGGACATACTGAATCTGAATTCCGCTGCAAATTCAATTTCCTCCTCGAAATCTCTCGCGTCTGTGGATCTTGGGGAAGCAAATGTGATGAAGGGTTCCGACTCGCACAACACCAGCCCCACATCCAATCTCAGCGCGTCTTCCGAGGCGCTTTCGAACGGTTGTGTGTCTATCACCACCCACTTGTCTGCTTTTGTCGAGGCCATACGCAGCTATGCAGCAGAGTTGTGTCCTGTAGATTGTGTCATTTTGATGGAACGATGTCGCCCGTTCAATTGTGATACCTATTTCATGAAATACTTTCGCGAACAATACCTCTGTCCCATTCTGAGGTGAGTGCTATTCTCATGTTAGACCCTGATTAAGGCACTCCTCACGTTTGTCTCTTGTCCATTCCGCGTATCGGCATGCATAGTATATCGTTATCGTGCCTAGTTGAGTAAAGATTCTGTACTGTTTATCGATGATTTGCTGAGACAATCCAGCGAAATTAACGGAGCAACTTCATCTATCTGGTATATACCGTCCTCTTGGGTGGGATTGTATCAGTGTTTGGATATTCTTCCGGTTACGGCACAGCCGCGAAACGATTGTCGCTCTTCCATTCTGTGTTTTGATTTTACCTACTGACCTTGCCCTCCAGCGATTCAACCTTTGTTTCCTTGATCTTAAGTTTTCATTCATATGGATGTTTTTCGGTCATTTCCCCAGCAGTTTATTGTTATATGAAGGTACATGCTATACATTCGATCTTACAGACTTCGGTACTCAGATTATAGATGACTAAGGGAACCAAACAGTCCCTTTTCGGCCGGCCCATGGACTAATGGTTTACAAGCCTGCTTTATAATCCGGAGGCGCGGGTTCGAGCTTGTGTAAGGGACCCGACGATCATCGCACTGTCCTTAACCCAAATGCGACTGGTGGTATTCGCACGGCAGCGAAGCGTCGGTACTGCGTACCAGCGTACTGCTGATGTCTGCCTTAGGTGGATCAGCAATGTCCGATTCTTTGCCGACTTGCTAAGCGGTGCGCCATGAAACGCTGTCTGCCGCGTGATAGTGTCCACCGCATGTCGTGTTCACGCCTCTCTCACCGGGTCCTTTTCACGCGGGGTGTTATGTTGTTGGTGGTGGTAGTCTAAATTGTACTGACAAGCAATTACTTGTTTCCTTTGAAACCGCCGAGCAGGTACCACTGTTATTCGCCAGTGGATACTTGGACACAGCATGATGCAAAGCTGGATCATCAGTTTTATGTAGCTGTTACGAATAGGACTGTCCACCTCAATGGTTCGACACCTTGTCGGATGTGGTGCTGTCACGTGGAAAGTTGTACTCTTACGTTCGTTCTTTGTATGCTTTTATCTTCGATGCGGCCGCTTGAGTCAGCCGGATCAGCGGCTGTTGAGTCTATGCGACATGACTGGAACTGAGATATCAATGGCACTTCTATCTTTCGGCCGGTATCTTTGCCTTCGTTTTCTTCCACCGGACGTCTCCGTCAAACGATTTATTCCGTTAACCTGTCAACCGCTGACTTCCTTCGTTTCCACTTTGTTGATCTTTGTCGCCTTACTTTCATGAGTCCATCAGCATACATCCATCGCTTCTGTTTTCAGATTTGTCCACCCAAACCGCGCAGAGCTAGATGCTTCAGGTGCCTACGGGTTTTTCTCTGATTTTTACTGAGGACTTTTCAGCGGATGATGTGCGCTTTTTGCTGTTTCCATTCAAATCAGTTCAAGCAACTGTTTTATACACCCTGGGTGGGTGAATGTTCAGCTTTAAAAAGCGGTTTTACAAAGAACAAACAGAAGTGCTATCATGTTGCAAATCGGCTGGTTAGGTCTAGAACGACGGAGTTGGGGTCCAGCAAAAGGCAAACATGTTTGTGCTGACCCATATCAACTTGTGCTTCTGTATAATAGACGATGCTGACAAACATTTAAATAAGGCATTATGAAGATATGACTTGTACCGGGCAGTATCTTTGATGCTAATTTCTTACAAGAATCCATGTATGTTGGCAAAATTAGGCATCGGAACACTTACTCAGAAGACCGAGAAAGCTTCACAGATGCGCAATTTTAATGTGTTCATCTCAGAAGCTTACAAGCTACATAGCTCAGCCACAATCCGGAAATGCATCAGACGCGTTTCGCTCTGTTGGGCCTCGTCAGGAGTGCGCATTCCGTCGGATCGAGCCCCTAGGGCTGAAGCGACCCTCAGCCAAGTGGCTTAAAATGACAACTTTGTGACTTTTTGCATGCTTTATTTACATAAGGGGTTCATTGATGTCCAAGAATGTAATTCATCCATTATTCCTTTATTCACGGTGCTTGGCAGTTTAGTTGCGTAATCCATCGCGATCAATATAGAGCTTGGAACACAACGTAAGCAGCTACTTGTACCTGGATCCTCTTTGTAGGGAAAAGAGAACATCATGACTCTTCGGTGTACTTGGAGATAGATAACGAGCTTTGGTCCACCCATCGGGATAGTTCAGCAGATCTTGCAACTTGAGTGAACAGTCGGCAGTTTAATGATTGATACCCAGGACAATGTCGTCAGCTTACGTTAGTAGGGTCGCCTCTACGCGAATTGGTATTGAGCCGACATAAGTAAAAAAGAGCAAAGGCAATAGAACTGCTCCCTTAGGAACACCAGAGTTGGCGTATAGTGGAGACGTAGCATCTGACACTGAGTCCGGTAATCTGATTGCGTCCAGCAACATTATCACTCCCCAACTGGGCGATGAAAGGATGTATTCCTTTACACAGCCAAATGCATTGTTACAGTCAAAAAGCACATTTGGGTTCATTTGTTTCTGTTGTCAAACCATGACGGTACATAATATACTAGTTGGGCCACTTCATCTATACTCTATATTTATTGGATCCACCTAATCTTTTATCATATACGGAGAAACGCTGCTTTCGCTATTTGCACTGTACGTGTGCTTTCGTTCTCTCCTTTCCACCTTTTCCTTGTGCCCGAAGAACGTGTTTTGGCTTCTCTCTGTACTGAACTGATATCATCAAAATCGTCTTCATGTACACTTGCTCTTCCATTTCACCACACCAGTTAATGTTAAGGTGTCTTGGCGTTTAACAACCGTGAAGCGTTCCGAATAATCGTATCGTCTGACACGGTTTCCCGTCTTCATAGTGCAAAGTAGTATTGCAACAGCGCAAGTCACCTGTTTGCCAGTTATTTCCAGACGGCACGATGGATGATCAGCTCACCTGTTTTTGGTGGTTTATCGTCTATGACGGACTGCTGTAATTGCTTTATGTGCTGTGAGAACTATGGCTCCTTTACTCAGGCAGATTCATGATTATGGCTCGGGATCACTAATACCATACGTTAATCACCGAACTGCCTGTTGAATTCGTTGACTCCATTCACCGGTTGTTGAAGATTTGGCTTGCCATTCCATTTTTACCTCTCTCTGGACTCGAATACTTCCACGCGCTTTTAGACACCCGATTAGGTAAGACGTGGGAGTTTCTATTCCGGTCATCTTGGTGGCGCAATCCGATCAAATGCTGTGAGACATTACGTATTGGCCAGTGGTCGAACAAACACTTATGGAGTATTTTGGCGCAAAACTCAGTTTCACGAAGTGGCCATTGGTGTGTGTTCCGAGATGGGGGATTTGACAGCTCTCCGAACGACGCAAAATCAAGACCAGCGCCCTTTTTTATGCAACTCTCCCCCATGCGTCTTCGGCAGTTGAGACTTACGAAACACACATAGGCTGACTCACAGGGTTTACGTAGACTGCTAGGACTCCGTTCTTTCAGTGTCTTCTGTAAGAATGTGAACATTCTAAATGCATGAGTTCACGAAGTGAGCACTTGGATGAGTTGTTTGTCATCGTTTTCCGTTTTTATTACTGCACGCTTCAGACAGGCATACCTAGTACATGAATTATTGAGAAGGGGAGGGGAGTTATGGACATCTTGCTACACGTAGCACCAAGTTTCCGGTATTAACACTCATCGTTCAGCCGTACCAGTTTATCGAATGCCTACCGAAAATGTACAGACTCATTCGCAAACCCTAACCTCTATTCCACCGCGAAGACAACCTTGCTGTTTGCACGATGTTTCATTCGTCTAGCTTTTGTTTATGTGTACTTCAGTTTTTTTGTCTTGACGGATAACATTGGACATTATTTCCTCATCTCAACTGATCTACGGATTCATTTTCTTCCCTTTCAGCAATCTAAACGGTGGACCACCCTTAAATGCAGATTTTGGACGTGACGTACGTTCCAGTTACCTTGTCCTCACTGTTCACCAATGGTGTTGTACAATTTCTCACTTGTCCCGTTTTACATTCAGCATTCGGATCGCGATTGACATGCGGTCTGTTTCGGTTACTACACACATCACGTGCCAGTTGATGGTATAAGTTGAGTCCACTTTTACACTACTTCTTATGGCTAATCTGAACCAATTCATCTCCGGTATTCGACTAATTACACCTAGAACACTGCTGTTCAGGACCCAGAATCCCCTTCTGTGTGTCTCTTCCGTAATGCGATCTCAATTTATTGGGATATATATCTTTTACTTCAGTGCTTTTCTCGTTCTGTGTACGCTCTCGCCTCTTCGTAAACACAGTTAGTCTTGTGTTTCATCTTTGTCTTCCCGTTCTTTCGTCGGTTATCGTCCACCTCTGGTGTCAACGGACGTCCTACGAGACTAGAACTAAGCAGTTCCTCAGGCTGCCTTTTTGTCTGAGACTTGATTGGACTTGTGCCACTCGGCCAACCCCACCTTGTGACTGACCGACCTGTGTTCTACCCATCAACCACTGGTGGCCGATTTTCGGTCCTTAAGCACTTTATACCCCAGTTTTCACGCGGTGTTTCATCTCTCGGCACGTGCTTTCTTAATATGTTATCTCCTACTTTCTCTCCTCAGGCGTACACGTCTTTGTATTCATTACATGGATTCTATTGGCGTAAACCATTTCCATCTACCACTTGGGTCCCGGACACACCTATCATCTACCGCATTTTGAAACGCATTGCGACGCTGCAACATGAGGAAAGGCATGCGAGTGACCAAACTGATCTTTTCAAAGGCACTTCGGGGTGCAGGCTTCTGGAATCGGCCGTGCAAGCATTTGACGCGATCGATAAAGCACGCCGAGGTCTCTGCAAACAAGTTCAGCGTCATCTTCTTTTGTTGGCTGTGTCCCCGATAAATGTGAATGATCTTTATGCAGACACTCTAAAGCCACTTGAAGATAATGTGTTAAAAGAGCCTCTGACGAATCTCCGCAGACGAAGAGTTGCGTTGAGCGTATTCTCTCCTGTACGTTCTCCCAGTTTGTTGCGACTCTACGAGTTGGTGAACGGATCGCCACCGTCCTTGTTTTGTGACCGCAGATGGCAAACAGTAGCCTTGTCAGGTACGTATTGTGCTACCCACCATACATTATAAAATACGTTCTTACGACATAATCAAGTAGTTTGTGTTTGCAGTGACTCGTTTTCTCTGTCGATTGTTTTCTTCATCTCGTCACTGTGCTTCCCCAATCTCTGCGCGTTTATAGTTGGTGTTCATTCGTCTAGGTGATCCCATCCTTAACCTGCTGAGGATGTGCGGGTTGCCGGCCAAAGGCAATTCGTCATGGTGATACTCCGAATTCTCACTCCTCAGTGAAAATTGCACCTTGTAGATGGGCCTATTGAGCCGAAGGTTCTTCATACAGCCTATAGGTTGAAATCACTGTAGCTCCTATCCTGTGGGTCGATTTGTCCCATGCTAGAGCTAGGTGCCGTCAACCAACCCTCCACTCGGAATGGCCAGCCGGCAAGTGTACACTTCACTGAAAACTCAGTGACCGATTGTCTTTTCTCTTCCATATCTTTCCTGTGCCCCATTAGAACCATACCTCGGCATCGTTCACGTAGTTGTGCGAAACATCGAGATGGCTAGTCCTTGGTGCAGTAGAGACCTGATGCAATCAGCTGGAGACTTAGCCAGACTGATAGGTGCCATTTTCTTGGATTGGAGCCTCGTGACAGTCCGTGTCAATGACTAGAAACTTCCCACTCTGGTGCATTCTCGAGGTCATTTGTGTTACCTACCTCTTGTTTCATCTTGCTGGCGGCTGATCCAGCTACCTTTTTGGCACCTTTTAATTTAAGGAGAACGGATCTTCTGGCTGGCGGCCAACAACCATTCCTCTCAACTCTTTTGAAAATCCTCCTGGAACTGCTGTCATCTACCTGACCCCTGAATCACTCGATCATATCATTATACATCAGCTCACTGGTTCCAACCGAAGGAAATCATTAAAAGTCAACCTGATTCCTATCTCTTACAATATGTTCTGGCTATCTCTTCACACTTTGTAAGGTTATCGTACATTACTCTATTTAAGAATGGCCTTGACCTGAAGGTTACTTTTGGTTCGGCAGACCACACCCATTTTTCATTGAAATATATGCGGCAAATATTCACTTCTATCTCAAATTTTCCATGTTGGTACTATGTATACGTATGTGTAGAAACTGGTCTCCCGCGTCACCCATTCCTGTCTCTGTTGCTTTTGGCCCAGAGCCATCATAAATGGCTCTATGAAATTCTTCTTTTAAGGGACGGAAGTTCCACCAAGTGATAAACTAACCTGCTCACTGGTGATCAGATCCACTGGACACGCATACACTACTGGATAGATTGAAGCGTAACACGGTTTACTTCAGCATGTGTTTTTGAGCTTTGCAGTACATTGTACTACCGACACACCGCTCGTGTTCTCAGTAGCACCGAAGCGGAAAATTGGCTGGCCCGTCAACGTAGCTGTCTCGCCTCCGCAGCCAGTTCACCTTTGTGGCTGATATAGCCAGACCGATTTATCTGGGGTAACGGAGAAATTAACTTATCTGTGGACAGCAGGGTGTACAGTGTTACGGCGCATCCTGTATGGATGGGAAACATGACGACTGTGCGCCAAAAACGAGATGGCTGGTTGGGTTTGCTCATCGTTACTTGAGTGCGTATGCCATAGTTAGGAAGAGTACCGAACGCATATCGTCTAAGTAAGCCGTGCGGTTTTGGTTGGCAAATAGTCCGACACACTTGAACTGTCTACGCTGGGTTTGCCATCACCCCGTACACCTACCGTAAACCTCAATGTGTGTTAGACACTGCAACTGGTTCACATTTGTCCGTAATTTGACTTAAAACCGTCGTGTTTGCTTTCGGCATTTCTCTGGATGGTACTTTCAGCATATTGCCACTCAAGTAGTTACACCTCGTGTTTGTCCTGGCACAGACGCGGATTCGATATCTCAAACCTAGGTGCTAGTCTTTCCGTCATGTTAAGTTAGTTTATTGTTTCGGATAGCTATTGAATTTTACCCACCCGAGAACACTGCATTCCACGACGCGTTTGGACCTTATTTGATCACATCAGGTGGAGATAGTAGGCCTTGGACCTGGGACCATTGAAATGTTAGTTGGGACTTCTACCTCTTTAGCCACCGGGTCACGACAGGCAACGCTTGACACAACGGTTAATAACCGCTTGGAGGGTCATTTTGACGCCCTCGTTGTGTGCTTGGATTGCGACACGCAATCTCAGTCTGGATTGCGATTCCCATTAGAGCGAACGTTTGGTTATTCGAGCGCAAAACCGAATCTGAAGCGGATGTAAATCAAGCGTTGTCCAGCCGAAAACACTGCACCCGACGACACGTTTCGACCTTGTTTGCTCTCATCAGGTGGAAATAGCAGGCCTCGAACCCGCGACCATTGGAATAGAAACCGAGACCGTCCCTTTGGCTGCTGCGTCACAACGAGCGACGCTTGGTACAACGGTTACTGACTGCTTGGAGGGTCATTTTGACGCCCTCCTTGTGTGATCTGACTGCGATATCCCTATGGTCCTTACTTCGAGTCGCAGTTTTGCTATTTCTATCCGATGTGATCAAATGGATTGTAAATCTGACTCAGATACAGTGCAAGTGACCTAATGGACCGGCTTTTACTTCAAAGTGAATTTCGGTCCTGGTTCGTTTGCGTTTACCTTTTCTCCTTGATTTCACAGCTTTGTCAATATTAGTTTTCTCTTCCAACAAATTAACCGATTCAACTTCCTGTAGGCTCATGTTCTTTGCTGTTGCTTGCTTTCGTCTCTGCGTTATTAGGTGGGTGGATCAAAAAGTTCTCAGTCCGATATAGAAAGAAGCCAGCTATCTGACTCGTACGATATCGCTTTTCAGCATACTCTCTCACAACTTGAATGCCCTTAGTCCAGTGTTTTTCAAGCATTGCTGTTCCTCTATGGAAGAAGGCCGAAGACTGTCCCTCTAAAATAGCTCCACAACCGTGATCAGCTCCTTGGTATTGGCAAATCTGTCACTCCGGAAATGAGATGTTTATTAAGGGAACAGGTAAAAGTCGGATGGGGCCAGATCTGATGAATTAGCTGAGTGCGGCAGCAATTAAGTGTCACAAATGGCTGCTTCCGACACGGCTACTTGGGCAGTATGAATAGGTGCATTGTGCAAAAGAAGCACTCCTTCTGCGAGCTTTTCATTTTTCTTAGGTCACTTGTTTCATTTGGCATACTTCTGCAACGTAATACTCGTCTGCGATCGCCCAACCCCTCAGCAAGAAGTTTATCATGAGTACGCGTTCATTATCCCAGAAGACAGAGGCCACCACCTCTCCCGCGGACGTCATTTGACGGAACTTCTTTGGGGCAAGGGAACCACTGTGATTTTCCGTTGTTTACCTGTAATCTATGGTTCGAAGTAATGTACCGAAATTTCATCCTGGATACCAAATCTTTTGAAAAAAGATTGTGTGCTTTACTTTGAAACTGCTCAAAAGAAAAGACGATGCAAAAAACTTTTTTTACAACTTTCATTCTTTTCACTGTGGTCCCTGTATTTATTACTTCGTTTCATGGTTTTCGTTGACTCTGTCTATCTTATAGGCTTCTGTTATATATATATATATATATATATATATATATATATATATATATATGCGTTTAATTTATTCGATATCGGCATTTCGATTGATTGGCTGTTGTTTGACATCCCAAGTGTGGCTGCACTTGATGTGCATGTTGACTAGGTGCCTACCTGTTTATTACCCACTACCTCGTCGATCTGGCTCCAGGAGACAGTTGGTCGTTGCTGGAGGGGACGGGGTGCACGATCCTAGTGGTCGTGCTAAGCTCGAAGAGTGGTTCCATGCGGACCACGGTCCAGCCACAGCCTTGTGTGCGTTTGATTCCCCAAATACAGCGTGCTTGTGTTTGGCTGTGAAGGAGTGTGGGTAGGCTCCGTTGATGAAACGTGGCTCCCATCCGCATGCCTCCCGGTCTTATTCGTTCGGGTTTACACTGGCTATGGGGTGTGTGGATGGAGCTGTAGGTGGTGCAGCGCAAGCCACCCATGGTGCTTGTGTAGACGCAGGCGTCCTGTGGCTGGCCACAGTGACAGGCAAATCCGAAATATTAAGCGGAGTCCTCACTGAATGGCTCAACTATATCAGAATGGATTTCCTTCGGCGTCATGCCTTTTTTCTGTAAGTACTTGATCACGGCTCCGCATTCACATTTGTCCATTATTAGAAATTACGCAACCAACGTTAGTTCAATGGATCAACACCTGCAAACAAGTAATGATGAGAACTTGTGATCTAGCATTAGTACTTTTTGATCCACTCTTGCATTTGCTCAGCTTGTACGTCTACGTCTTTCGCATCCCTTTACACCTAATGCTTTTGGTAAACTGTTTCTTGGGCTCCACTATGCAGAGCTGCAGGCATTGGTGACTCGGTAAGGTCACTCTCGCCGTCCACCTGCTTCATTATTTCATACTCGGGATATTCAGCTTATCCATTGTCCGTGTACACTCAATTTATCAACCAAACGATAACTGAGCCTTAGAAATTCCCTATAATTTTGCCTTCTCGCTCTCTTCATATACTACATGTTTTTAGCCCATCTCCTTGTTACGTAACCCACCGGTTTGTGCAAGTTTATACCTAGGCACTTCTGTTACCTTTGGTTTAGCATTAAGCGTCTCCTTTTGCCTTGTTTCTTGTGGGATTCATCGCGCTCTAATTTGTTCCCTTGTCGGGTTATCTTGATCGACAGTCCAGTTGCTGAATTCTGACTCTCCCGAACGACGTATCGTTGGACCTCTTGCGGCGGATTCTCACGCCCAAGCTGAAGCAGAACTTGTGCTAATGGAACAACAGCAGAAGCATATGCACCAACAACAGATGCAGCAGCCGCCGCCGCCTCCACACGAATCGCCCAACGGGCACTACGATCCTAGGGAGCCTCGTCTAGTGAATTCACCGATCCCTTCATCTCGGCCCACTGTACTTTTGCCCAGGTCAAATTCTCTATCTGGTGTACACACTACCGTCGCTGTCAGTGACCACCAACCAGTTGCTAGCCTCACGGTTAATTCTGCCGGTACACCAACGGAGAGCATGTACCGTTCTGTCGGGAGAACTACAGTACATAACCACAACGGCACCAGTGCTTTGTCTCCAATGATGCAGCTTTATCAGGTTTGCAACACATTCTATCACTCATCATCACAATCATTGTGCTCATTATTTTATCGAAACGCCGGTATGTAAAGTTGCCTTTCCTCTCTGTCACACAACTACAATAAATCAGGCTTAATTTTAGTCCACAATACGGAATTAACATACTGATAAATGTGAGCCTATCACTGTTGTCATCCGTTCGATGCAGGTAGAGGGCCTATACTCTGGAAACTTCGTCCAGCCCCTCACCATTTACATACTAGTTGATTTCTGTGTGGACACCTTTCATTGACCTCACTGTATTGATGATATTGGGGCTCAGAACGTTCATACATTTCAGTCTATGACGGTACAATCCACTCGCCAGCGGTGGTGACGATCGCGCGTCATATCTGGAACCTTGAGCCACTAGAAGAGTGATATGTCAGTGGTTCTTGTTCCGAAACAATTCATTGTACTCAGACAGTCAAAAGTTTGGCACATATTTGGAGAAAGGGCTGAACTCACCTTTTTCCTCATATGAAGTAGCCAATTAAGCTCACTAACCGCGTAATAGCGTGGTTTTTCCTTCTGTTCTTGCACGTCATTTCAGTCTAGGAACTCTGCAATGTTTTCCTTCGCTAAGCGGCCAATCGTCTTTCGGTACCACAAGTCAGCTTAAGAAGTTGCTGCTCATTGAGACGTGGGAAGAAATCTTTCGTAGGATGAAACTGTCACCTAGCATTCTAGATCAGCTAGTCATGCAGAAATTTAAGTATCTAACAGTTATACCAGCGCCTATAGGATCAAAGAAGTCACGAACCGTATAACGAAAGCTCAAGGCGCGTTTGCCCAGCTCCGCCACATGTGGAGCCGGCGCGACCTCAACACTCACCCTAAAGGGGCGAGTTTACAATGCAGTCGTTTGTTCAACCCTCCTGTACGGTTGTGAAACCTGACCCATTAGATCGACAGACATAAAAAGGCTAGCTACCTTCGATCTTCGCTGTCTTCGCAGTTTAGCCCACATCTGGTGGGCACACCGCATGAGCAATGAGTGTTTTAGGCGTCGCATAATTGGTGCAACAAGAGGGAGTGTACCTCAGCACTGTTGTCGCGTACAAGGCTCCGGTTGCTGAGCCATCTCTTGCGCATGCTAGCACACCGACTCCCGTGATGTGCGTTGTTTACGCGACTGGGTTGTGGATGCAAGAAGAAGAAGAAAGGAGGCCAAGTGTTTAGTCAAGACAAGTGAAAACCCTCACTTCGAACTTGCATCGGTTGGCATCTCCTGATTGCTAGGTAGAGCCCGATAATCTATGAACATATTTATTTGGACAGACTTATTGACATGATTTAAAAGCCGACCTCAGTGATGAGTTTACTTTTCCCTCCCTCTTCTCATTCTTGATTCACAATTACAGTGTTTTACTATTTTGTATTCTGTAATAATAATTGATACTTCGCTTTTTCATGTCTTGTTTTTTTGTATTGTAACACAACCGAGTTGTTTCTCAATTTACAACAGCAGTACATCAGCCATTTGAATTGATGCTTTGCTGCCCTGCAGCCATGATGACCTACGGAATGAAGAATAATAAGAGGGAGAGAAGGGGACTTACATGAAAACATTAATTCCATAACCAAACATTCAGGGTCAAGACGCCTACACCTTGTGTAGACAACATACCGTCACAAGCAGCATCGGTGAGACAGCTTCCTTGAGGCTTTCACTGCCCCGCGTCATAATCAACCATTAACCGCGCATAACGACACCAAACGCACTTTAAACAGGCAATCTGACTAGGAAACGGCAGCAGACACGCCACCTGTGTCGGTTGCGAGCCATGTCCTGCAAGATCTCAAGCCAAGCACAAGGGGAGTCACGTGGACTCCAGCCCGGAAGGCGAGACGGACCAACGGCACCCAGTTTGGTAGCCAGTGACTTCATTTCCGCTGCCAAGTCAACTTCTGTCCACCTCGAGCCTTGCGCCACCCTACACCTGGCAGACTAAACAAGGCCCTCTTAGGTAAGCGGTGACCAGGCATACGTACCACGTGTCCGAGCCAGCGCAACTTATTCAGTGCTATCTGTTGTTCTAGGGAGCCAGCATGATTAGCACCACCTGGTATTTGCCTACGCACATCATCGTTGCGGACACGCTGGTGTCACGCGACACCAGCAATGCTCCCCAGATAACGATGAGCAAAGACTTGGAGGCGCCTCAGATCGAAGGGGGCCAAGTCTCAACCGTATAGCATGACGGCTGTTATTGTGGCCTATACACGACCTTTTAAACGGAGGGAAACTCCATTCTGTCGCCAAAGATGCCCAGGTTCAAGAAGGCAGCACTGTCATTTGCAATGCGTGAACCGACTTCAGTTTCTATGCGCCCATCGTTGCTGATGCAGCTGCCAAGATAACTGAATTGATCAACCACCTCGAGTTCCTCGTTATAAAGGGTCGAGATGTCATCAAGAAGATTGTGGTCCTGCAGCAACAGTTTGCACTTTGAAGGTGCAAAGCGCATACCAAATAATGGGACCACTCTAGAGAGACTATTTAGATACTGCCGCCACAACATCTTCAAAACGTAAGACGATATCGTCCCCATAATCAAGATCAAACATCCTTTCGCCGGCAGGACCCCGACGCCTACATCGTGCGATTCCGCAAGGGAACATTCCAAGGTGGAATCCACGACGAAATTGAACAAAAATGGGGAAATCGGGCAACCCTGACGAACGCCGCATGAGGTCGGAATGCTATCCGATAGGACACCGTTGACCACGACGCGGCCTGTAGTGTTCGAGTAAAAGGCACGTGAGATATTCACATATTTCGTGGGAACACCTTTCCGCGCAAGTATTTCGAACAGAATCGATCGATCGACTGAATCGAAAGCACCCTTGTAATCGAAGAGCACATCTATTGTCGGTCTGCGGTATGTGTGGCGCTGCTCTAGCACCCGCTGCAGCGTGAATATGCGGTCTACACAGCCTGCTCTTGCCTAACACGAGATTCCCGCTCCACAGTGAAGCGACGAATGAGATTCGAGGCCAGTAATTTTGTCACAACTAATACCCCTAGTACCGCTGTGGTTAGCACAGTCGGTGCGACTGTTTTTCTTGTATATTGCCACTATAATCGTTTCACTTCAGATAGGTTCGAGTAGGGAGGTCCGTGTTTTGCAAAGCACCTCACCTCCATCGTTAAGTAGTGTAGGTAGGAAAGAATTTCGGCCAAGGACACGAAAACGATTGAAGGCTATGATCACGTTTCGGACCTCAGCCTCTGATGAAACTTCTAAACTAACCGTCCATGGTTCTTCCTGCATCACCTGAGTAGGAAGAGGTCCGGGAGCAGAGGGCCTGTTGAACCGATCTGGAAATTGTTCCGCCCAACAAGCCATACGGCGCTCCTTATTGTGTATCAGTGCACCCGCGTTGTCTCTGATTGTCTCACTGACGCCTGATTTCTTGGGGCCGGTGGTCCGGATCAGTTGGAAGAGCTTGTAGTATTTTCCTACTGCTCATGCCTCCTTCATTTCTTGAGCCCGAGTGGTCCACCAGGCATCCTTGTCAGCACTCAGGCTCCGCTTTAGTTTGCACCCAACAGTCCGTCTGGTCACATAGTGCACGGAGTCAGCCGGGAGGTTCCTTCTAGATTCCAACAGGTTCAATGACCTCTCGGATATCCAGTGACTAGTGCGGTGACGATTGATAGTGCCACAAGAAGATGCTCCTGCGTCGTGCATGGTGGCCGAGATCCTATTCCACTGAAGCCTAGTGTCATTAGGACAAGACAGCGAAACTGCGGTGCGTAGTGCGTCTTGACAGGCTTGCCTGACCGAGGGCTGAGACAGTTTTTCAGTAGCCAATCGGAGGAGACGCTTGGTGCGCCTCCCGGTAAAGTTCATGGAGAAACGACAGCGTACAAAGGCATGATCAGCGTCAACGCAGGTATTCCAGTACGAGTAGCAATCCAGAATGGAACCACATCACCTGTAGCTTATAGTTATGTGGTCAATTTGGGTCCATCGCTGACCTGCTACACGAGGACACCATGTGGCACTTCGGCGCCCACTGTGTCTAAAAGCAGCGTTACTGAGAAACAACTGGTGCTCCGCACACAGTTACAGCAGACGCTCGTCGTTGTCAGTCCATTCAGAGTTAAGCCCTAAGTAACACCCAGCCGAGCTTCTCGAGAGCTCAGACGCCCTACTTGTGCGTTCATATCCCCTGCAAGTACTATAATATCTGAACTAGTAGCACTGCGTACTAGCGCGTTAACTTCGTGATAATATATATCCTCGACAGCATTTGAACTGCAATCGGTAGGAGCATAAGTGAAAATCACAAACAAACAGTGTCTAGTACTACTTCGTGAATCAACCTTACCTGATGTCGTCAAACGGGCTGCACATAAACGGCTGTTCACTGGAATCCATTCAACCAACGATGACTTAGCCTTGGAGCTGAGAATGATACCTACCCCAGCTTGACCTGTGAGTGTTGCATCGGCGTCTCCAGATACGTGCAACCAATAGCTAGAGGATAAGCCGGGTGCAGTCAATTCAATAACCCCGTTAGGGTCATTAATCCTAGTTTCGGACAGACAGCATACATCGATACCCAGTGTGTCCAAGGTGCGTACGAGTGCAACCTTTTGACCTATTTCTCTTAGAATGCGAACGTTGAATGCCACTATGGAAACTGGACAGCGTGGCCTTATAAGGGACTGTTGCCGATGTTCGTCCCATAGGTGTTGTGGGATGGTGGCTGCAGATGGTTCTACTCCAGTGGCACTTCGGTTGCTGTCAATTAAGCTGGGAATTATGGAAGGAGGGTTAGTAATTGGGGTCAGGATGGGAGTAAGAAAAACAGGTGCAAGAGAAATGTGGGAGGCGTCAGCAGTAGCATGTTTTCCCTTATGCGCCCTGCTGTATGCAGCAAATAAGGCCACCCTTGATAATCTGCGCGACGGCCGATGCAGGATGTAGTCAGAGTTTTGGGGAAATTGTCATGGTTGTATGTGGGCTGAGATACTGCCAGGGCTCCCTAACCTAGATAGGATGAAGATTCGGGTTTTCAACCACCGCCTTTGGCTCAAAAGCGTGTCCGCAATGCAGCGGGGTGGCAATGATTTAGTTTTAAAGAAATGGGTGCTATCCCATTTCAAACTCTTAACCTGGAGGACCAAGAGTCTCTTCATGTGAACTCGAACCATTGACCAACCTGATACTAGACGCAGCCCAGTGGGTCAAGGTGCGCAAACCATCGCACCACGCTAAGATGCAGTCTCGTTGCGACGGGAAAGGTCTCTCACCTCTAGCTAACGTGTAATGATATGATATTGGGTGTGGAATGGCTATGTGCCTTTACGAAATCCCGTGAAACTCTATCGATATTGTTCAGGCTCTTATGATACCTTTTAATTCCATCTCGATTCCATCTGACGAAACCAAGTTCCAAGTTGACCACTCAGCACTTTACACCATGCTCTGTTTTTAATGAAGTGGTCGAAAATCCCAACTTTTAAACAGTGGTTGTTTACATTCAGCTCATCCTGAAGCTTGGATTTCCTATCTGGGCACGTACACAAGGAACAGAACACCGACTCAACCATGGAATTCCGCAATGCGGATTGGTCAGGAAATGAATTCCCTCCATATGACATCGGTTTACCAATCTGTTCTCACTGTGCCCGAGATTCACATTCAGCCACCGCGGACGGCGGACTAGAACTGCTATCCGCATCCTGGTCACTGTCTGTTCTAGACCTATTCCTTGTTGCCTCGCCGAACTACTGCTGCTGCCAACGTTTGATGTGTGGTTCTATCAGCTGATCCACCACAAGTATCGTTCCACGCACTGTGAGGCTTATCTGTCTCTGCCTTTTCCTTGACTTCATTATCCAAATGATGATTAATGGCTCTTGGAGTACACGAGTTAAATGACTTCTTTGTATCGGACCCACCCGCTATTTAGCTTCTTCTGTTTGAGCAGACACGTGTTGCTACACGCACTATTACTGAGCTAGGCCTACGTACCATCGGCGAAAATATCGCTTGTTTAACCTACAAGTGGACCGGTGTCAAATTTGGTCACATTGATTCAACCGTCACTCCTCCAGGTGGGTCATTATCGACTACGGACTGTGGTTTAAGCATACCATTCGATTTATTCTTTTGCTAAGCAGAGAAGTTTGGATTCTTGTGACTTTACTACGTAGCCAACTCGTGCTGTTAGTAAGTGGCCTTTATTCGGACAGTTTTGATCGTTTACTTCCGGTGTTTTTCACTCTGACTGTTTCAACTTTGCGTCTACTTTGCAGAATTCCGCTGCGGAATCAATGGCGCCGCAAAACGCTCGGAGTTCGCGGAATCCCGGACACAACCACGGCTCCACACCCACGGGCTATGTGTCAAGGGTAACTGGCCATCGTTTGGCCGTCGATGGAAATCGTCAGTTAGATGTACATAAGTTGTTCCCCTTTCTCTCGGTATTGGCAATGCCTTTTCATTCTGCAAATATGATCTTATCATGATTCCCCTGTTCGATATGGTTTTAATTTTGCCTCAGTATGTCCGCAGGCTGCACTTTCACCTACTCATTCATTCGACTTCTTACTCTCGTTTTTCCTCATCGCTGCATTTCTGTTCACTAGCAATCTGCACAGCATATGACGGTGTCTGTGAATTCCGTCTCGGCGGGACATTCGGGCCCCAATTCAGTGGATCAGTTCGGCCCTGCGAGCGTGTACGGCTCCGACTCAGTGACCACTCCGCAGGGCTGTTCCGCCGGTATTATGTCTCCTCAACAGCCCTACTTGGCAAGCGCTTCGATGACGCAGCTCCACTCCCCTGCCTCTGGTGGAGCTGTCGTTGGCGTTTTGCACAGCACCACCCCAGTAACACCAAACACTGTCCCAGCTGGCGCGTACCCCACCTACACACAGCAATATCAACAGCAAACAGGATTTGATGGTTCTGGTTCATTGTCTGGCATGCGTCCCATACAAACTGCTCCCCTGTCTCCAAGTGCGTCCCAGATGCCATTCCGCCCACCGTCGTCGAATGCTGCCGCTTCACCCGGCGGTCACTTTGCAAACTACCCAAATTCCACAGGCCTACCATCACCTTCTGGCCAGCGGGGCAGTGCCAGCCGGCAGTATTCTCCGCAATTCTCCACACAACTTCAAGGGAGTCACCAGCGCCACACATCACCTCATCCGGGTTTGAGTCAGGTAATCATTTGTGTTGCCAACTTCCTCGGTCCCAAGTATTCTTACTACGATTAAGTTGACCATGAGCTGGTATTCTCTTTCCCCTTGAGGTCTACTTGTGTCTGGTACTTCTTACGAAATCCTCGGTACTCCTCATCATTCCACTGCATCATTACTTTCGTCTCCGTTTCAGATAACCGGAGTCTAGGCCCTTAATAAACGCTAAGCAGTCAACAGCTGAACTGAACTTCGCGAGCAACGCTTGAATCGGTAGTTAAGAATTCATTATTAAGTTCCGGAGTCCCTACTCGCATTTCCAACTTCCACACACATAGACTCTATGTGGAGCCTGATGTCGTTTGAGATTAACCACGCTACGATTTGATCGGTTCCGTCGACGTCAATTACTGAGGTTTGGGTTTTCGAGATTTGGGTCCGAGTTTGGGCCTTTGTGTCTATGGGAGGTCAGCAATTCACTGCTCTATGCTTCATCCAAACCCTGTTTCTAGGACGGAAACATGGTTGTCGTTTTGTAATTTTTCTGTAATTTTTTGTGAATTTACTACATGGCTACCTATTCATTGTGATTGCTAACGTATTTAGCTGCGACGGTATAGCTAGGAAAGTCTACATGCCATGACGCACTAGGGGAATAACTGGTGATGTCACACTTAACTCTCCTGTTCTTAGTTACCACTCCACAATCACTGCCGGCCCGTCGCCTTAAGGATCACAAGCCTGCCTTGTAATCCGAGGGCGCGGGTTCCAGCCTGTGTAGGGATCAGGCGACTTTTGCGTTATCCGTAACCCACGTGCGACCGGTGGTGGCTGCGCGGCAGCGAATCGGCATACTGCTGATGCCCACACCCACTACGCTATTCCTCCCATTCTGCTTTTTGGTCTGTTTACCATGTTTTATCCTTTCTTCCGTAATTTGGTTGGTAGGACCTCGGTGCCTTCTCTCTTCAATGCTTTCACAAGGCATGGTGTGTTGATGGTAGCTGGCAAGCGAGCAGCCATGACCCCAGACGGATTGAACCTGAATGACCGCGTCGATGACATCAAATTGAAAATCAATTTGGATTGGCGAGAACAGAACTCAAGTGGATTACGCGAGAAAAGCAGCCGGATGAAATACGTCAATTTGTGAACGATTTTTGTGGATGCGAGGTATAAAATCCACTTACGTTGTTCGAACAATAAAGTGTTGATCGCGAGTCCCGTAATTTGTTTTCTGATTCACGGAGGTCCACTGCGACATGACGACAGAGGTACTGACATGCCAAACCCGGCTCGCCTTTGACGAACAGTCGCTGATTCCATTGTCATATCCGCTACAGATGACCGGAAGTATATTGCCGTATACTCGGAAGGCATGGAAAGCGAAATGGATGGATTTCACTGCGCGGATCTAGTTGGATGAATATCCCAGGCCATAGCAGTTGGCCATGTTCCGGTACACTATCGGCCATGGAATGTTGCGTATACTAGAAATGTGTGATTTCTGTGACCATGATGGAGAACGCATGAACAAACATCAGAAACGGATAAAAAGACAATCATTCTACCATACATAAATGGTGTCTCTGAGATGGCGGCGAGACTGCTACTACCTTTCGGAATCAGAGTTGCTCACAAGCCGACGGAAACCATCCGAGACAAGCTCTTCACTAGTAAGGACCGGCTTGGCAAAGAAGAAACAAGTAGTGTGATTTACAAAATCCACTGCAAAAATTGCAACAAATACTATGTGGGCCAGACAGGAAGAAAGCTCGGTACTAGGCACATGAGCATAGCCTAGCCATCCGCCGACATGACCAGAACTCCCTGATGTCGGTACATATGGACGTCGAGAATCATCAGTTTGATTTGGAGAATGTCAGGATCATAGGCAGGGCAAAAACTCGAAAAGCACTCGAGTTCATCGAGGCTTGGTACTTGGGAAAGAACTCAATCAACCGACACTTGGATCTTGTTACTGCCTATGAAGCACTGAGGGTTAAAACAATACTCCGCCCCAGATCAAAGAGACATAGGAACATCATTGAGGCGGACTCTAGCCAATAGTACGCAAGAGTTGACTACACGGTCAGCTCACGTGGACCAATAGACTCCTGACGTTCGAATCAAGTAATCAATAATCACTTGGATCTGCAAGTGGCTCGCATAAATCGCACTGATGATGTCGTCTAGCCTGACGATGAAACGTCTGCAACCAAATCAACCAGCTCGGAGATCACCCGCATACCCTCATCCGCATCCCGAGCTACAAATATTCTCACGGATTTTTCGCAAATAATCAAGCGAATCGGTGACTATTGTGATGGTCGATCAAATGTTTTCGCTGGTCTGTCAGTGTCCATTCAGTGGATGATGAAGGTCCGCAGGCGACGCAGGAGGCCATAATAAATTACCCTGAGAGCCATAGGAAACAAGAGTGCGCCTCTCCAGCACTGTTGATTCAAAGACGACCCAAGTCATCACAACCTGATCTAAGGTCAAGTGCAACATGCTACTCGCGAAAAACTGCATCGTAGTAGAGTGCAATGTGGCACACTGTTGCTTCAAGGAGTCTAACTGCTCGATGCTACGGTGTAAACGGAAAACAGTCATGAAGGCTGTCAAGAAACTAATAAAATCACTTATCAAAGTCAAAGAGACGCATGAAAATCTTCACGACTGGAAAGAAGAGATGTGCTCTGTACTGAGATCGGAACAGCTCCAGCTCAGCAGTTGTTCAATCGCCGAACAACCACGTTGCTGCCGCAGTTTAGGTCCTACTGCAACTCGTGCGAACTACGACAGTTGTACCATGAGACCGATTTTATAAGCATTACTGCTACTTCACAAATGCCTCATTCCTCTGGTTAATCTGTACATCCTGCAGATCACATGCTGCCTCTTTCCTGCCAGTTACCAAACTCGCCCCACTTCCATTGTCTGGTCGTGGACTGTTTTACTCCACTATGCTCGTCCCCCGGTATTGTATAAAGTTCCACTTTACCAGTACTGAATACTGTACTTTAGAGCAAGCATAAATGACTTCTGTGCAACTCTTTCGAAATATGATGGAAAACGTTATAAATCTTGTCGTTATCGTTCTCATGTAACATTTAAAGATTTCTCACTCACGGCATTGCAGGACTCTCATCATAAGTGTGCAGTCATTCTCTGAATCGAATAGTGGTAAAATATAAATCTAACAACATTTTGAACTTCTGCACAGATGTTATCTCCACCACATGTTCAGGCAAAATGTTCCAAATATTTACCACTCTCAGTGGGTGGGGAACTCGCTTCACACCCGGTACGACAAGTTTGTATCTGTATCCGCGTCTGCAGCATTTGCCTCAGCATAGGGAAGTCACCGAGACTTAGTATGCAGTAGGTCATATTGAGGTTGACTCGCATCCGACGGTAGGATAAGGTGTAGGGTCCTAGTTTCTCGCACCGGTCTTCATACCCCAAGTCACGTAAACTCGGGATGAGCCTGGTAGCAACGTGTTGGACCCGTTCGATCTTTTATACCTCATCTCGGGTAATCGGAAAGTAGGCGGGCGAACTGTACTCTAGCATTGATCCAATGATGGCAGACAAGAGGGGAGTGGCAACCTCTTCAAACTTATGCAAACCATGTGGATAGGCGGTTGATTTCTTGTTGAAGTACGCCACTGTCGTCGGGAGCCTCAATTTCTTTCCAAATCTGAGGTAGATCATTGATGTGGATCAGGAACAGTGTGACCCAGCAGTGTCTTGAGGGATACCAGTCAGATGGTCGTTTACCTCCACTTTCGTCCAACGAGAAAGTCGCGGATCCACTGATGCACTGAGCAACCGACACCACACATCCTGAGTTTGTAAAGGAGGACCTCATGGCTGACCTTATCGAACGCTTTACTGAAATCGATGAATATCACCTCGACAGACTTCCCCTTGCTTATTGCCTGCAACCACTCAAAAGCAAGTTTGTAATGCAGAAGCGGCCTTGCATAAAACCGTACTGTTCGGGCGTCAGGACTTCTTAACTGTAGCAACTGCAGCAATCACTTCTTCACGATTTTCTGTGCAATCTTTGCCAAAATAAGTGTCAGACAAATTGGTCTGTACTTGTCTACTTTGCTAGGGTCCGCGACTTTCGGAATAGGCTTCACCACCGAACGTTTCCAGTTAATCGGCAATGAACCTTCGGACAGTGACGTGCTGAAAAGGTAGTCACGACAGGAAAGATGATGGCAGAAAGTGACATCAGTGAGTGGAGCCCATCAGGTCCGGCAGGTTTGGTGCCTTCTAGGCTCGCGAGGAGTTGATACACTTCTTCAACGCCGCAATTCAGACTATCGAGTTCGGTAAATGCGGTACACGTCGAACTCGGAACAGACACCGGACCATTTGCAAATACAGAAGCGAAGTGCGCCGCCAACGCGGACGCACACTCAGTGCTGGAGGTTAGGGGCTGTCCGTCCGGGCCATCCAGCACTAGCCAGCTTCAGGCGTCACTTTACGTAAGCAAACATTCTCTTTGGAGCGGTCTTCGCGGCGCTTTCAAGCTGCTCTTCGAAATGCCTGTGCTCATCCCTTTTCCCACTGTTGCAGATGTTCCGCTGACTTTTATAGGCTTCGTAGTCATTGGCAGAGCCAGAGAGGAGGAATCTGTCCCACAGTCTGCGCCGCCTCCGAGCCAGCTTTCCATGCTCCTTGTCAAACCAGTGAAGCTTAAACGGTCCAACCTTCCTACACTTTAAGGGCCCGAATTCGGAACACAGTGGCGTCAATCTCTTCTTTATAAATGTCCAACAGTCGACCACAAATGCAGCTTGTGACAGAGACCCATCCAGCTGGCTCGCGGATCGAGTTAGGCCGCCAAAGTCCGTTTTCCAGTAGTTGTATGCTGGCTCCAGCGGACGTGAATATGGCAAGGGGAATTCCATATCAGCTATGAGCACTGAGTGGTCGCTTGTAGCAAGGGGCCACAGGATCCGAACGTTACGCAATCGTTGTTCGTAGGTCGTGACAGGACGGGG